CATAGAAAGTGAAACCGATGAGGTTCGTCTTAGATTTAAATCGGGCAGTGATTGTGCTGATGCTTTAGCTTGGTTGTTATCAAGTGATGGTCAACGTTTTATGCTCAATGTCAATCATTTGGTATTTGTACTTGGTACAAATGATATTCATCGAGCAGGAGCTTATGAAAGTATTCGCCGTATCGATTATACCATTGACACGATTAGACGTCTGTATCCTGGTGTAAACATAGTATGGCAATTACTTCAACGAAGAACAAGAAAAACTTGGCTTTTACCAGAGGGTTCAACGGTATTAAATGAAATCAAAAAGTGCAACGTAGAACTACTTCAACTGGCTTCAGAAAAAAACTTCGACACAATTCAATCATTAATGAAATGTATGATGGTCTCCAACCAACATCATATGGTGTTAGAATGATGGAAACAACCATTGGTAATTATATAAAACAGAAAAAGATGGTATACTCTTCCTCATTTTCAAGTGATCCTCGTCGTTTTCAACGTAATGCATCTCCTGCTCCTTTGATGTCAATCAAATTTTAAATATTTAATGTATTACATTATCTAAATAAAATATATCTCTCTAACTTTTTTTTTGTTTCTTACAATTTAATCTATTTGCCAATAAGTCAAGAGATGCGAATAAATGATCGATTTTCTCAGACACTTGAATAGTTATAATCATTTATAAATATAATCCACTCATAAATATCTGTATATATTGTCCAGCTACGAATATCGTTAAATATAATTTAACAATAAATATTTTTGGACACGATTGAACCATCAGTTAACGAGAGTTTGACGATGAATATCAGTTAATTAGAATTTGATATTAAACATCGATATATACATGCACAGTCAGTGCGTTATCAAACAGAATGGTCTGCACCTAAACTTATATGATGCAAAACGTTTTACTTTCTTTTTTAAATAAGACGCAGTGGGCATTTGCTTGATATTTCACATCCAATACGAAAGGAAAAAAAAGAAAAAAAAGCATACATGCATATTGAATATATAAACAGGGAAGAAAATTGAGTATCATTCATCTTAAAACATATGCCGTACGTCGATTCAATTATTCTCAATTCTACAGGAAATACAGATAAGTAGATAGATTTATTTATATTGAAAAATGAAACGAAAGACTCCGTTTACCTCGTTGGTAAAAAGTAAATCTAACTCAGAATCAACACGACATATAGAAGAAAGTTCATCAGAAAGTTCATCAGTCATCAAAGCAAGTATTAGAAAATAAATTAGATAAACAGTCAAACGAAGAGAAGGTAGAAGGTAAACAAACTATCGGGAATCAAATTACTCGAGAGCAATTTATATCTGCTGTTAAGGAATTAGGATCCGATAAAAAGCAACTTGATAAGGAAACATGGCGCTTTAATGAATTCACACGTTCTAACGACTCTATTTGGGGTCGACTGATATCGAAAATGAAATTAAACCAAACAGAAATTGTACGTCATTCTTTGTATAATGTTTGGCGACGTAATCGTCAAAAAATTGAAAACGATATGTCTGAAACTCGTCTTGATGCTGTTGGAGAAAATGGTAATTTAGACAAAGAAAACGAGGTTGAGCTTTCCTTATCGAACTCGGAGAATAAGTCCGTAGCGTCTGATGCGTCTCTTCCACATCGAGAGACTCGTTCGACAGTTCAAAGTCAATTGAATCTACCAACAATAATGGAAGCATCATTCATCATGACCCCAAAAGAATGGAAAGATATTTATGATCGCTCTAAACGTCAGATGAAATCGGGATGGACAGATGTAATTTATCAGAAAGTATGCTCATGTAATTTTCATTGTATCCTGGTTTTTAGAAAACACCGTATTGTTGTTGAAAGTTCACGTAAAAAGAATTCTTCGTTTTTTAGCTGTATAGCCACGTGTAAGAATCGTTCGTGCGAGCGAACATTTGAAATTTTTATCAAAGATGAACCTACAGGGACACAAAGTATTGTTGTTCGCATAAGATTCGTTGGAGACAAACAGCATGATAAAGATGGAGAGGCAGCAGCGCGACCTTTAACTGGAAAACTTAGAATTTTTATTGGAAAGACAGCGAACACAATCGGTCCCTTAAAAGTATTTCAGCTAAAAGTAGAAAATGCTGATGCAGAAATGTTAAGTGTTCGTAATTTCACCGGATGTGAGACTATGGAAGTCTTGAAACATGCAGCAGCAGATTACCGAAAACATTTTCGACTTGACGAAGATATTTTTCGAGAATGTCGAGCTACACAACATATACTTGAAGAAGTCGATGTGACATCCGTCAAAATAAAAGGTTACGTGCAAGTTATGGCTGAGAAACCGTTTCGTCTTCACCTTACATCAGAAGCACAGATTTTACGTTATATCAGTTATTGCAAGAATAATGCTTACTCACATATACATATCGACGCAACCGGATCAATAGTAAAGAGTCTGCCGCATCAAAAGATAATTTTATTTTATGCAGCTGTTTTTAAAGACGGAAACGATCCAACCAACATAATTCCACTAGGGCATGCTATTCTTGCTGATCACACGGCAACAAGCATAAGCTATTTTTTGGGTACGCTTCGACAACATATCGTTACCCTTAAAGATAAAGTTATTCGACCTTCTTTTTTTGTCACAGATTTTTCTCCTGCTATAATTAATGCTGTTTTGCAGACTTTTAATCATGAAGATATTCATGGTCATTTGAAACGATGTTGGAATGTTATTTTACGAAAATATGATGCAAAAGAAATCCGTATTCGATCGTTTTTGCGCTTTTGCTGTTCTCATGTAATGAATGCCTTTGCTAGAAGTCTGTCAGCTGCAAACGTAGGGAAGGAGATAAGAAAAAAGGTAATGCACGTATTTGCCTTGTTTATCAATTGTGGTGAATTTGAAATGTCATTTAAATTTTTAAAACGTGTTTTGCACATGTTCGGTAACCCGCAAGCTACTGATGCGGAGAATATTCTTCAGATGTTTTTAGAAGCACCATATGACGATGGAACTACTCCTGAAAAGATTGGTTCTTGTGATTTAGAGTTGGAAGAGGACTCGATTGATCCTTTAGATGCAGTAGATGAGAATACGCACAGTAGTAAAGCAATTATTCATCAGTCGCCCTTCAATATTGAAGCCATTCGCCGGTTTCCTCAGCTTTCTGAGTTGTTGGATTATGGTAAAAAATTCGAAAATGTAACAAATCCTCTTTTTTGTCGTCGGATTATTTTGGTCTTTTATCAGTGGTTTGCCTACTTACCCTTATGGACATCTTTACTTCACGAATTTGAAGCGCGATATTCGAATAACCGAACACCAGTTGACATTGGTAAATACGAAGAAGGTCGTCTAACAAATGCTCAAATAGAATGCTATTTTGGTATCCTAAAAGTTTCAACTTTTGAAAGAAAAACAAACCTGCGACCAGCAGAGGTGACTGTATCGCTCTATCGAAGTATTCAGGCTCAACTGAAAGCAGATAAATTCGGAGTTAGCCAACATGCAAAAAATTGTAGGGGAAAACCCAAAGATATGAATGTAGAGGAGGCTTGGGGTAACAAGAGAGCTCAAAAGAAACAACGAAGTACATATTTCAGTCGAATTGATAAATATAATAAAAAACGGCTGGCATCAAAGCCGATCAATCCTGTAGGAAAAACGAGTTTGTCGGACAAGCCATCTTACATTTCCACCAATTTAGGGGAAAAAACCAGCTGCGTTTTAAATGATATATCTAATGCAACTTTGTCACGTAATTTACCTGATTCTCCATCTTCAAAGTTCACAGACCTTTTCGGCGGTACAGATTTTTTAAAGAATATAAGTCCTTTCAGTAATGCACGGGCAGTGTCAGTATTTAATGAACCAATGTCTCCACCAAATATTTTTTCAAGTATAAAACTTGACAGTTCGTCCAATGTTTTGTCAACACCGAAACAAGTAAAAACCGTGTGCAAAAATGAAAATATACAGAAAGAAAATTCTGAAAGTAAACATGAAAAGCAGCAAAATCAAAGCAAAAATGGTATTCCACTAAAACATTTCTCAGTCCTGTTAATATACGTACTTTTTTGTAGTAGAGACAAGAAAGAGTAATCGTGGTCAACAATCTTCTTTACCAAAGGTTTTTCAAACACCTGATTTTTCATCGCTAGTTCGTCGGTTTCGTCAAATCGTCATGATTCAACATTGTCCTCTTCTATGGCCAGCTTTTGGCATCAAAAAGAAAACCTCTGAAAGTCTGATTTCATTTTTTTCATCTTTTCATGTATAATATACAAATTAATCCATTTTAGGTCGAACATATTCCGTGACAAATACCTGCAATATTGATTCTCCTCTCTTCGCTATTTATGTTATGTTTTGGACAGAACCAATGATCAAATTTATTATTTTAAATTCTGAAAACGAACCGTTCCTTTCGCTCCGTAAGACTTTTTCATTAGTCGAATCGGACGGCTGGGATGAGGCCAGGTTGTACTAGCTAACCACTCATGGTCTTCTCAACCATCACCAGTTCAGTGAGGACAACATGTACGGATCTGTTGATGAAAATTTATTGCGTTTCATCAAAAATCCTGTTCAACTTTATCGAACAAAAAGTGTCTGCACTCGACAGGACTGTCCAAAACGTGAACGTATTGTAACAACCACAGATATAGGTCTCGAGTAAGTAATGAACGTCGTCAGTGGAATAATTGTAAATTGAATTAGTTTGTTAGTGTAGTTGTTGGCCCTCAGTTGTGACTTACATTATTTCTGACATATATCACAGAAATTGTACAAAAACTAAATATAAGAATAGTTTTTCAATTTCTTTTATAAATATATTTCATTAATAATAATAAATATAATCATAATCATATATATAAATATTTATGATTATATGTATAATATAAATATATTTCAATAATGTGACGAGGGAATTCTTTCAGTTTTTATCGCGTAACGACTCTTTACTACGACACCTCTTCAGCATGAATCGATATAAACTGCGTCTTCCTGGTATTTAGATGTTGGGAAACTTCTGTTTCAAAATTTGAACATGAAAGCATGTCCTATTGCGGTGAATTCGTCAAAAGACTGAATGAAGTCACATACAAAGAAGCGAGCCGACTTCGGTATAAAAAAGATACAAAAAAAATCATGAACGTCCATACAAACACAATGGAACACGAGTAAGCTTAGTAGTAATTTCTAATAACAATATGTAAAACTGAATTTTATAGGGACTGCTGGCGATGTAACGCACAAGTGATTGCTCAGCCAGCACGTTTTATACATGCAATCCACCATTCCTTTTCGTGGACATTATTCACCCCACTATTGAAAATCCAACAAGTAAAGAATTAACACCGGTTAGTCTCAACTTCCGTAATATTCAACGTAGTGTTACAACTGGCGCATTGACGTAGGTAATCACAAATAATATCTTGAATTTTGCATTTCAAAATGCTTTTGTTCAAATTATTTCGACTACAGTCCTAGAAAACTAGAAAAACACGTGCAGCAAGTCTTTCGCGTACTTTATGGCAGAATTCGTGTTACTTTCGTGAATATAAATCTGTTCGAAAGCGGTGTAGCCGATGATGTCCCGTATTATGTGTGTAGTCTCCTAGAGGCCAGACATTCTTCTTAATCTGCTAAGTTCGAAACGCTAAAATGCTAAAATCCAAACTACACTGATTTTTCTCTCACACGTATTTCAGTTTTTATAAAATGAGACCAAAAAATTAAGCATGATTCTCTCTTATATAGATATAATTTACGAGCAACAATCAATCATGAAGTTGATCATTTTACCACCACTATTATCGACTCTTCCGATCGTTTATTTATATTCAACGATCTTCAAGGTGTTACCGAAGTTAACCATTCACCTTCTCATGCAGAAACAGATGTTTACGTATTAAAAAATTAATTAGTTATTTTTGTTCCTTTTTCTGTGACATATCACATCTAAAAGTGTTTATTAAATTACCTGTAAGCAAATTAAATCTAGTCCATGTAATAAAATAAACAAAAACAAGTGTATACATTAAACAAAAAGGAGATGGTTTGAGCTACAGAAATTTTGATTATACCAATGGATAGAGCTCTTCAAGTTGTGCTTGGAACAAGAATAGGGACTTTGGAACAGGTCCCTAGACGAATATGGGCAACTTTTACTCGAATCTGGTGCTAACTTCACCTACATCAGTTCGATCTCATCGCAAAATAACAAATACAAACATAGACGAAGACTAATGGAAATATTTTTCCTATTTGAACACTTTTATTCTGCATGTATGCGTTTATATTATATAGCCAAGCATGAAAATTAATCAGTTTCTGCATTAAAAATGATTAAATCCTGATTAGAACAAAAAACTATGGTTTTTGGAGAAAAATTTTCCAGAAACCCCTTGAAGACCCTCTAGAGATCTCAAAAGTATACCCATTAGATTCATCAGCAGTTTTTGCCTATGTAAAAAAATTTTCACTTTATTTGAATAAAAAATAAGCATTTTATTGAAAAATGACCTTCCCCTTTTTCTATGATACCAGTAAAAACGAATTTTTTCAACAAAGGAAAGAAAA